TCCTCAGTAAAGGCTTGTATACACAGGGAAATTGATTGTAATTGCTAATGTTGAATAAACTATAAAAGTCACCTCATTCCAGAATTCATAGATGTATAGCTCATAAAGCTAGAAGGAATCCCTGTGATTCCTAATCTGACTTCCTGCATTACACAAGCCATAGAACTTCTTTGAATTAATTCCTGTTTGAATAATTGAAAGTGCACTATTTACTGAGGAATGATGTGCCTTTTAATCCAGGATAGAGTGCGCACACAGGGAACTAGTCCAGAATACTTACTGAAGAACAGCTTATTCTAATCAATTTCCTTGTGTAAACAAGCACTTATGAATGTAGTAACCAGGGGCCTATTTCCTCTGTGGACCCTCTATCCTTTAGGATATACCATCTACCATTGCTACTGCTTGGTGCCACCCTCCCCCTTCCTATCCCAATAAATTTTAATTCACACTTAACGCTATGTGTTTCTCTGTGGTAAATGTCAGCCCAACTGCATATTACTACTACATTACGTCTGGAAGAAGAAGTCAAAGTGATCTCTATTTTTCAATTTTCATACAGACATTTTTGGTCCCTGCACAACTGCAAGGTCCACTTCAAGTGTCAAAATTCTTCTTTAAATACAACCAAGTAACCAAGGTTGTACTGATGCAATCTCTCGGGTACTCCAGTGTTCTCCCCACAAATGCCAAATCTGATTATGCTTTACCATGTGCTGCATTCCTGATAAATTGTGTTACAACAACAATTATAAGATTGAAAAAGAGTGCTTCAGAATTCTTAAGTCTTTTTTTTACTCACAAGTTTCAATTTAAACATTTTAAAGTATTGTCTTTTTTCCCCCCAAACCTAAAATTCCATGTTCCAAGGCATGGAACATTTTTACAGCAGAATTACACACCCCTGAAAACAGTGGTTTATCTCAGTAACGCTGATAAGGGTGTTATATGTAGGCATCACACTCTCTAGTGTAACAAAGTATTTCAAACGTAAGTGCAGGCATATTCCATTGGCAACAGAATCATGTTTAAACAATCGTCCTTTCTAGGTAATAATTAACTTTCACAGAACATAATGTACACCATACAAATAGGTTAATACAACAATTAAATTGATATTTCTGTCTAAAATGATATTAACATTGCCATCACTGCAAGTGAAATAGTCCCTGCAGAAAAACCCAGTTCATAATATCCCTTTGCCCTTTTACAGCACCTTTCATTTGAAGAGCTCAAAGCACTTCTAAAATATACATGAAAGCCTAACATGACCCTGGGATGGAGGTAGGTAAGTAGCCATTTTAGAGATGGGTAGGTATACTGAGAACAAAAAATTCTGTGGCTTGTCCAACTTCATTCTGCACATCTATGGCAGAACTGGGAACAAAGCTCAGTCCTTCAATTAAGTATATTTAAGAACCTCTTTAATTTCTCTGAAATGGCTATGTAACATTCTTTAGTAATTCATTTTAGCACTCTAAAATTAAACAACACAAAATCTATGCCAACTAGAATAAATTAGAAATTAATCAAATATTATTATGGGATTTTCTTTGTGCAGAGCACCTGCCTTTGTTTAGACCATCAAAATAGTTTTGGCAAACATATCTCAGCTTTAACGATACTAGAATAATATTTTATATAATGAAGTTTTTCCTTTTCTAGAACATCGTCTATTAGAAAGTGAGCTGATACACAAACTGAGTTGGCAAGTCTCTTCCATTATCTGGTATGTCAAAAAAAAAAAAAAAAAAAAAGATAGATGTTGCTAGAATAGATCAGATCAAGGCTCAACTGATCAGATATCCTATTTCCAGCAGTGCTTACTACTCAACATATCGAAATTAAATCCCTACCCCCACTCGTCCATGAAGAAAGATGCTTAATGCTATTGCTGTAAATGGGGTAGTGGTGGTGGGGGGGAATACTCCTCTCAGAACCCCTTCAGCTGGTCAGCTTGCACTCTGATCCATGAGGTTTGATTAACCATATGATTTTACCTTGCACAGCAATATACAGTTATCCTGTTACACCTTGGAGTCAACACCCCTGACCAACACAGACTGGTTGTGCTTGAGAGTCAACCTTTGTACTATAGTTTTCAATTAAACACCACTGTAATTAACTCCACTGCAGGAGTCATCTCTACTGAAGGTATGGGCAAGAGTGACTTGAATGTTCTTATAATGACCTGTAACGGATAATTCCCAAGATCTACAGTAACTAATTGCATAAAAGACTCACTTTACCACAGCTAGTAACAGCCACAAAACAATTGTGAAATCACAATTACTCGACAGTGTACAAAAAGTAAGGTTTCCAATGTTCTTGGCTTCCAGTTTTTCCTTATTTATAATACTTTTGCATAATTCTGCACAGTGTAACCTTGAAAATACTACACAGATTAAACAGTGGCAAAACATTTTGAATAACCAGCTGCTTTACTGCTATGTTGTTGGAGGAGGAGGCATTTAAGAAAATATAAAGGACACTTTGATGCCATTTCCTGACTTTTTGTTTTGAAGACTGACTGATAGATTAATAAGTTTTTCTGCCAACTTAAACAACAGCTTTCAACACTAGGTTAGAGGGTAAAAAGTATGTGCTATTATACAAACTTTTTTGGAATTGGTACTTGGGAATTCAACAGAACAGTTCAGGGTGGGGACTGTGAAGCACATGTAATGTATAGATAGATGGCAGTGCAATATAGTTAGCTTTAAAATATCGATCCTCACCCCACTGTCTTTACTCAAGCAAAACTCCCATTGACTTCAGCAGACTGGAGTCTACATTGGGCTCAGAGTCTACACGAGACCAATAGTTTGTACTCTTTTCCATAACATGACCCTATTTCAAAATAGTTTCTGGACCCAATCTTCCTCCCATCTAACCATAAATGACCTCCCTAGACCATCCCCAGTGGAGGGTGCAGTCCCCATGTTGAGCACCAGTGCAGTATATAAGTTTCATGAAAAGCCATCACCCAATAGTGCAGTAATAGAAAACTTGTGCAGCTCTAACATAGACACGGCATTGGCAGCATTTTAACCATCATATTGCCTTCACATATGGCTTCTCTACCTGGAAAATTTGTACTTGCTATGCCAATACAGTTAACAGTGGCTTTCTTTGGTTTAGTTTAAACCTTTTCCTCAATGCCATTAGTTAAAATTGAAAAAAGGCAATCATACTAGGATTCAAGTGTCCACACGATGGGTTATGATGGTGTAACTATATCTGTTAAAATTCACATATTAATGCCTACACAGGGAAATTCAGTATACAAGGCCATAGTCTAGACAACAAAGTGATAAAAAACAGTGGAGTTGCCAGTGCCTTGCCTATACAAGAGCCCTCACCATGCTACCAATAGGAAACACTGGGGGAAAGACTGGCATTACACAAGTTCTGAGTTAAGGATACAAGAATCCAACAAACAGTTTGCTTGGCCTGATGTTGTGAGAAAGTGACCAAACAGCTGTGGGAGACGTAGCTTTCACCTGATACCAACAGCTGACTGCCCCTGAAGGCAGAACAGGAGAACTAAGCTCATTTCAGAGAAGCCTGCCCTGGAGGAAAAAAAACTTGGTACCTGGGCCTTTTCAGCCCATAATATATGTACATACAGCTTCACACTTTTAACACACCCACCAAGAAACCAAGACATGGGAGAAGACAACAGAGGAAAACAAGGGGAAACAGAACAACAGGGGCTGCACATGACTACCAAAGATGACATATCAACAAGGCATTTCAGCTACTAAAGTTTCAGCCTTCCCCTTTCCAATATATCCAGAGAACCGTAGGAGATAAAAATATTATGGAAACTAAAGGCCAGATCCTGATTTCAGTTTCACGGACATAAATCAGGTCAAAATCCATTGAAGCCAAACAGAACCATAATCTCTGCTGAATCAGAATGAGAGACTGAGACTTTTAGCACTAAATGAGATAGTTCATAACAGAAAACATTTCATTTACATATATAAATACACTTACAGGTATTTATTTATGTAAATGTATATTGTGTCAGTATATCAATGAGTTCAATAGCATGCAGCCCACATGCTCATTGAAGGGACCCTATCAATTTACAATAAACCTAAATCTTGGGCTTTAAAAAAAACCACACCAACGTACTATATGCATGTTGTTCACATACTAATTTAAAGGACACAGCAGACAAATCTATGATTTGTAAAACTAAGCTTTTTACAATACTAACGGTTCATTAGAAATATTTTCATGCTTTTTAAAATCCCAGTGGAACCAGTTTTGTTGGGCTGTAGCTATTTCACTACCTGGTCTGCACCCCAAACAGAGTAATATGCACAATAGAAAAAAAAAAGAGAAACCCACTAACAACCCAGGGAAAAACAGCCACTGCATTTTCATTTTTTTCATCCAAGCTCAGAAAAATGCAAACAGTGAACAAACGGAAAAAAACAGTAAAAAGTTCGTTTGATCTTTAAATGTCTTTCCATTTTAATCTGTGGGGTCGGTGGCAACGCAGAGAAGGATTTTTAATAGTTTTAACTGGACATTTCCCCCTGTTGCCATGTCTGCCCATTTTCCACCAGGCCAGTGGCTGGAGGGCATGGAGCCAGATAGACATGGATAAACTGCATATGAACCCAGTGATGTACCCGAATGGCATGAGGCGGGGGGAATGGAGGGGGCAGGTGCCATTTTGTAACCTGGAAATTTTGCACAGGCAAAGCCCATTAGGAGTCACAATCCAGCCTCAGCCACATCTGGCTCTACAACCCCCGCACCTGCGGAGCATCAGCGCCCCACGTCCCCCAGCAAGCGAGGGCTCCCACCTGAGGGAGACGTGGCACCTGCCCGGCATGCCCACCCCGCAGCCCTGCCCGGCCCTTAGGTGCCTCGGCCCCGGCCCCAGCCCCAGCTGCCAGAGGAGAAACCTGCTCTTCCAGCCAGGCCCAGCACCGGCAAGCCGCCGTTCCCCCGTGCCGGGCCTCCCCGGAGGCGCTCACCTTGCCCGGGGATGCAGAGGGCTCTGCGCGCCCCGCTCCCCGCGCGGCCCCTCCTCGCCGGGGCGCCCCCCACAGCCCGCGCCGGGGCCTGCTGAGCTGCCGCCGCCCCAGGTGTTCCAGCCCCGCCAGCGTCACAATGCCGAACGCAGGCTCCTCCGCCGGGGAGCCCGGCCCCGAGCGGGGCGGAGCCTCCGTCACCTACATCCTCCTCCCCGCCCCCCGGCTCCGGCACCCGGGCGCGAACCCGGGGCCCGCCGGCCCGATTGTCGCCAGTCCCGTGCCTGGCAGCTTCCTTGGATTGTCCGCGCCAGGCTGAGACTCGCCCCTCACCCCCGCCCCTTTGTCTGCCCCGTGCTGGAGGCCACCCGTGAAATTCTCTCCTCCCTCCCGCCGCGCCTCCTCCCGCACGCCACAGAAACGGAATCAGGAAGCCTCTGGGTGCTGGGGGGGGGCAGGGCGACCTTTAGTGGGTACAGGGCGGGGAGGCAGGAATGGGCAGCAGGGGCTGGATCCAGCTCCCATGAAAGCCAAGTGAGAGCCCGGCCATTGACTTCCAGCCGGAGCGTTGGAGCAGCCCCCAGGAGTCTTCATGCCTCTGGCAGTATTGCCAGTGTCAGATCAAATATCATGAGTCGGACGCCCCAAAATCATAAAACTAGCCTCAAAAATCATGAGATTTTTTTACAAAGATTATATTGTGTTTTTTAGGTCAGTCTCTGGGGTTTTGAACTCCCTCTGCCCATCCTCAGGGTGTGTACATGTGACAATTAGTGTTTCCCGTTCTCCCACAGGTACTGGATAAGGTCATTTTGGCCCCTGCTCCAGGAGCTCTCACCTCCACATCTGCTCCACTCAGTAATTAATCCTGTCCTCCAGTCCCTCATCAGTTGTGTCCCCACTCAATCACCCGCAATTCAGCCCCCCTCAGTTCAGCCTCCCTACCCCATTGACCCCCACCATCCTCAGTTCATCCTCTCAGCACTCACCCCATCTGCTCAGAACTCACCATCAATACAGCCCCTGCATCCCACCAGCCCCCCTCCTCACTTCAGCCCCCACCCTCCTCACTTCAGCTCCCCTGCCGCCCCAGGCCATAGTCCAGGCCTCCTAGCCTCATCTCTGTTCCTCTTAGGGTTCTTCACCCTCCTTGGGCTTGGGGGGGGGGGCTGCTGTGGGGTCCCCTCTCCTGTTACCCAGGGTTTTCAGAACCCAAAACAGTGGTAACTTAACTGTTTCTCTCCAGGCAGTGCCAGGAATAAATTAATGGGGGCACAGCTTATCCATCTGACATATCATTGGCACAAGCTAGAGTCTTTTGTAGGTTTAGAGCATTTCAAAACATTTATATTTATATAGAGTTAAGAAATGGTTTAAAGGGATCAGTGGCCAGATTTTTTTTGGGGGGGGGACCTCCCTCCCCTCTGACTGCTGGAGACCTTAGATGCCAGATCCATGCCCAAAGAAAACTTCCTCAGACTGCTCCAAAGCAAATTATTTCACCTACTCTTTTATAGCTAACTTCAAAGCACATAACCTATAGTGACTCCTAGAGGGTCACCATAGTAATCCCTGATGGGTCAGTAATTCTCCTACTTCCAGCAAAACTACTCATTATCTCATATCATCAAAACATTTCTAGTCATAACAATAATAAAACTTACAGATCAAATGTTTCGGAGGCGCTCAAGACCAAGGTCGGCCATCCAAACACTCCTTCTATTCTCACAATACAAAAAGAAAAGGAGTACTTGTGGCACTTTAGAGACTAACAAATTTATTTGAGCACAAGCTTTCGTGAGCTACAGCTTCGATGAAGTGAGCTGTAGCTCACGAAAGCTTGTGCTCAAATAAATTGGTTAGTCTCTAAGGTGCCACAAGTACTCCTTTTCTTTTTGCGGATACAGACGAACACGGCTGCTACTCTGAAACCTCTCACAATACAGTCACTTCTTATTCCATCCTCCCATTCTGATAGCAAAACTGGAAACATGCCATTATTTGGCCTTGCCTCTCAGGGCCTAAAGATTTTCCTAGCTATGTGATTTTGGTTTTCAGCTGGCAGTGGCTCAACACTCAAAATTGCTGACTGCAGTACTGTCACATTCTGGGGTACACGCAGGACTGTCAAATTCTGGGGTAACACTCCAGTTCCCAGGCTGGCAGGGAAGCAGCTGCCTGTGGCTGACAGCCGGAGCTGATAAAAATAATCCTGAGCTTTGAGAGGTCTATCATGAGATCATGAGTGAGGCTTAATTTTACTTGGAAATCACATCTCTCGCAATAAATTTGTGAGAGCTGGCTTGTCTGCTCTGATCCTGCCAAGGCCTGGGTGTGGGAGGCATTGTGGGATAAAGCCCACAAACAAACAAACAGCAGCAACAACAAAACCCCAACCTAACACTTTTAGTTAGGAGTGCCATGGGGTGATAACGGCTAGTTGGTCCCACAACCATTTCCAAGATGCTAAAGCCCAAATCCTGCAATATGAGTCAAGCAGGTTCAGGGCCTAAAATGGTCCGACAAATAATGGAGGTGTTACTGTAAAAATTAAGGTTGAGTCTCCTAGATTCATGCCAAGTGACCACACTTATGCAGAGACACAAATACATGTTTCTTCTTCACCTGCTTCTCTACTTATTTTTGGACTTAAAAATCAAATGCTACAGCATAAAGTATGTGGGTTACAGCATCTTCTTTGGTAGCTTTAACATAATGTCTTTCTCAGTTATTTTCCCTTTAATATTGTTATATGACACTTTTAAAATTAAATTTTAACCCCTTTTTTCTTACTGTTTCTTAGTCTAAAATCATGTTTCATGTATAGTATCTCCAGATGAGGATATTATTAATAAAGTACTATCGGTCCATTATAGCATCTCTCCGACCTCCTCTGGAATATTTTTAGTGTAGCAGAGATAAAAAATGTAGCCACAGGAAACAGTATCTGCCAAATGGTGTGTCATATATAATGTACCTAGTACTTTGCTCACCCAAGACTGTCTACCAAAGTCTGCCAGATGTATGGAAAACACTGAAGTATTTAGTTCCAGCAGCTCAGTTCCTAATTTCCTTCACAATTGGGCACTGAAAGTACTGTTCCTTTATAGTTTTACAAAGATCTGTTTGTTCTAGGCATATTCTCATGGACTTGGGGTTTTTACTACCAAGTTTGGATGTTTCCAATCAATTGGTTTACGGATTTTCTTTAAAACATCTAAATTCACCACATTTACTTTCTTCCGGAACTCAATACCTCAATGCAAACTGAAATGTCCTAGATGGTCTAACAACTGCGGTACCTCAAAGTTTCAATAAATATGAAGTGTGGTTGTAGTGTAACTGATTTCTTAATCAACGACATCAGAACCAGTGGCCTCCCTCCTCATCGCACTTCTGTCTTTGAGGTGCAGGGTGGGGAGCAACAGGGCTTTCAAAGCCCTCCTTTCTACAAACCTGAAGTTTTCAGAAGGGGTGGACTCGTAACATTCTCTTCCCTCCCTCAAGATCTGTCCTGCAAGTGAGCTTGGTGCCATACTACCTTAGCTCACTGTCTGTTAAAGGATGGAGAGAACACAGATCGCATATTGACACAATTAGGTCACATTCAAGTATTTTTTTTACTATATATAAGAGAAAAATCCACAAAGGGAGACACTTTCTCTGTCACCGTTTCAATATTTTCTCAAACTGTATATTATATCCCAATGTATCATTTGTGTATTATTTAAACAGATCCTTATTTAGTCTCCCTACTAAAGGATGTTACATTTATCTTTAATAACAAAATGGAAATTCAAGCAGGAAAAGGCAATCCCCTCAGGAATGTGGCACAGTTTAGTTTAAGCCCAATTATCTTTGAAGCCCCCGGCAATGTTTGGCAGAGCAAGCAAGAAGAATGAACACTTTTCCTTTTATACATTATTTGACTCAGACCTTTGTGCATATTTAGATTTTTTTTCTTTCTTTTTAAGCGGTTTGCTTTGTGAAATAACCATTTACGAGATTCATAGCATTCAGATATCATGGAAATTAAACCGAAGTTCTCCCATCCCCCACTGCCTGCAATTGTGGTATCATTCTTGAAGCTGATCTTTCCTTCTCCTCTTCCATTTAGCGTGTTTGTAAATCTGTCCACCAGCACACTGAAAATGTCTCATGTTGTTGGAACTCCCACTGCACACCCCCATACATGCCTTTAATTTCCTCTCACCTTGACCTTTGTAACTCCCTTGTCCATGGCTTCCACAAGCTTCAGTTCTCCTGATTCCAGCAAGTACAGAACATTGCTTCCCAGATCACCCCAGTAACTATTTCAGTTCCTGTTTAACACTCCAATTCTTGGGTTTGGTGTGGATGGGTATGTCACTGTCAGAACTGTGAGTGCCAACTACAGGGCAAACTATCAAAAAGCAAGGCAGACACCCCAAACTGGTGGTATGTTCTATAATTAGATTTCACCAACCCAGTAACAAATGTGAACCCTTGGAGCACTATAACAGTCTTACCATGGAGTCACAGAAGTCCCCTTGGGCACTCCAGTCTATCTTTCCACCCAGGCAAGCTGGACTGAGTGATACCTAGTTGCTATACACCTAAGATCACAAAAGATGCAGGTTGCTTCCAGTCTCAAGAGACTTACCCCAGGGTCAGTTTGTACCTAAGATCTCACACCAAAGACAACAGTTGAGGCCAATCCTATAATAAACTAACTAAGGATTTATTAACTAGGAAAAAGAAATGAGAGAGTTACTTACAGGTTAAAGCAGGCAACATATTTACACAAATGAGTTACGTCTATGGTTCCAAACGGTGATGGAGTTGTAGTAATGTATTAACACTGAATGTTTTTTAGAGCTAAACCAGGTTGACCATGGGGATCTTTGCATTTGTTTCCTAGCTCCAGCCCTGTGAGAGTCCAAACAGCAAAGAGATGAAGAATTTTATTTCAGTGATCTTTATTTCCTCCTTCCAGGATTCAAACTGATGGGACGAGCTTCCTTGTATGTAGCAGCTTCATGGGTGAGAGAGGGCCATTAACCCAGTCTTTGTATGGTGATGTTTCAAATGGCCCACTTAGTTTTGATAGTCCTTGATGTGTGGGTGAACTGCTCCTCCTGCTCCACAAATTCAGAGCAGCCATTTTTACAGTTATAAAGCAAAACTTACATATTACCTTATAACAAGGGATACAGACATTAAAAGTAAGATTAATGCATGCAGCAACTTACAAGTAT